CTCGATTTTTTTTATTTTTTATTTCGTGGTAGAGATAGAAAATTGATGATAAAAGTACCTACAAAGATACTTAACATTCAACTAAATAATAAGTAATAAGTATGATCAATAAATTATATTTGTATGAACTTAAAAATTATCTTATATTTGTGTCTATTTCTTTGTAATATTTATACAATTGGATAACAAACTCGGTCTTTTCCGAGCTAAAATTACGGTGAGAGTACAAATTTATTAAAAAAAAAAAAAAGTTAATGAAATACTAAACTCAATTTTTTTTAATTATTTAAATTTCTCTAAAACTGTGACCGACACTATTTCGTTGTCACCACAGTTTCGTTGTCAGCTATAATTGTCTCATACCAAATACCAACCACGCAAATATCATCATTCCTCTTTCTAATTCATGTCATTGCCATTGTAATACAATTTTTTAAAATACTTTCTTTAAAAAATTAAAATAGTCTTTTTATACTTTTTATATTTGTTTGTAATAATTGTATTTGTTTGAATTTAATTTATACCGTTAGAGTGTCGGTCGATCCGTACAATTCCTCCGTACTTCAAAATTATTTATTAAAACATAATTCTTTTTAAAGATAATTATTATGATTTTTAATTGTTAAAGGTACTGAACCTTTATTTGGTAAAAATAGAAATAAAGAGATTGAAAAAAGAAAAAAATATAAGAATGTGTAAAATTAAAAAAAAAAAAGATGGAAAGATGTATCTTTTTTCCCGTCTTACGCACTTTTTTTTTTTTTTAAATAAAACGAATATGGTATCTTTTTTCATACTTTAATTTTCTTATTCTTCGTTTTCGAACTCAAATACAAACAAACGAAGCATAAGAGATAGTAAAATAAGAATAGCATAAAGATTAATATTAATAAAATTTATAGTTGCGAAATTATAAAACTAAATTATTATTATTATTATTATTATTATTATTATTATTATTATTATTATTATTATTATTATTATTATTATTATTATTATTATTATTCGCGTTATTCAATTTACCACGTATGGTATGGCGCTGCTTCTGAAAACAACATGAAAAAAATATTTAATTTGATCTTGAAATATATTCTCGTCTTTGTATATTTTCACGTTATTTTGGGCTCTGTTTGGTTGAATTTATATTAAAATATTCAGATTATAAAATTTCACGTTATTTAATTTCTGCTTAAGAGTTCTGCAAAAAAAAAAGTTGTGATAAACATAAGTTTATAAAATTTTAAATTTAAAAAACTTTAAAAAATAAAAAGAACTTTCTTCTCCTAAGATTCAAGCCACAGAATAATTAAGTATACACTAAAAAGCAATGGGAGAAATAATTGCTTATCTCTACAATAAAATTGTGTGAAAACAATTATTTAATTTCTAAATAATTTAAAATAATATCTTTTAAGACATTGCACTCTTAAAATCAGACAGAAAACAAATCTTTGAAAATATTATACACTACCAGATGTCTTTCTTTCTTGCTTCAGCTATTTATTATATCAATGTTTTGAAATCTTAGTTACCTGGTCTAATACAAAATTGATTTTTCGATTTAAAAATCGTATTATTATTTTTAAATAATTAATTTTTAATTAAATTTATATAAAAAAATATAAAACTGAAAAAAAAATTAGCTGAATTATTATATTAAATCAGTTTTAGTAAAAACAAAATGTAAAAATCAATTTAAAAAAAAAATTACATATAATTTTCTATAAAAATACAATATCTTTCAATTTTTATTTTATTTTTCATATGTCATTATAATTATCATATCAGTCTTATTATTTTTGTAAAAAATATTATTATTAATAACATATTATATATTTATTATATATAAATATTATTTTATTAAATAAGTCACAATTAAATTCTTAACCCTTAATCATTGTTCTCATTGAAGGGGTTAGCTACTATAACATTTGCCACGTGCCATGTGACTAATATATAAGTTATGTTAATTTAATCAATCACATGTCCAACTTTTATATTTACCTACATCTTTTGATCCAATCAACTGAACAGTACTTTAAGTTTACCACTTGTTTTTTTATGAAGAATAACCTCATTGCTCATAAATATTATTATTATCAAATACAAAATAACTAAATAGTCAATTTTAAAAAGATTATCAACAATATATATATATATATATATATATATATATATATATATATATATTTATTTATTTATTTATTTATTTGAGTGTGGAATTGGCATGTCTGTTTGTCTTTTTCTGAGATTCTAGTGTTCCTTGACGAACCTAAAGACCTGTTGGAGATTATTTTGTATTCAATTAATGGGATATATAATTTTTTTTTGCCATATGATTCATTTACAAACTTCCACCATCTTCTTTATTACTCTCCAATATCATATTCTTATATTATTAAATAGATTAGTGCGTGTTATAATATAACAAGTAACAAGTTTCTTAACTCTTGTGCCTTAATTCTCTTAATAAAAAAACTCACGTGCCTTAATTACCTAAAGAAAAGGATGAAAACAATAAATTTTGAAAATTACAGAACACAACATATCAAGCATATATACATGAAGTTAATACAAAATAAATTAAGAAAATAATTAGAATGTTCTGAGATTGTTTTTACCTTGTTATCCAATAATAAATTATTGAACAATACCAATTATTGATTTTTGTAATACTTAGTTTGAAAAGTAATTAAAGTGTAAATCTTTACACCGATAACATATAAAAACTAAAATCGTCAATGAATTACAATAAATAATTAATATTTTAAAAATAAAGAATAAGTCATTGGAGATATAGTAAAAAAAAGTGATTATTCGTATAATCAATAGTAAAGAGTATTTTTGCAAATGCAATGATAAAAAAAAAAAAAAAAAAAGTTCTAACAAAGCAATTATGAATGCAGTACTCCCATATATGATGAGAATCAGCAGCATAAAACTTCAATCATTGAATAATAAGTTACTAGTTGGAGCTGGTATTTATGTCTTCAGCTGCACACATCATCCAATGACGGACGAGAAACACTGGTTTTCTTAGCAGCATTAAATCTGTAACATATTTTGATTTTGATGTTTATATAAAGAATGGAACAATTTCTTTATACCAAATACTCTTATCTCTTTCTTTCTCCCATCATCCTCTATATCTAGTTGCGCTCTGACTAATGGCTATAGCTTTTGGCCTAGTGGTAAGCGCTCGATCCTAACAATTGGTATCAGAGCCAAGATCACGAGTTCGATTCCTGGTGGGCAATTGTTGAGGGGGAGATTGTTGCAGGTTGCACAATTGTCCCGTGGCAGAGGCCGGGTGGGCCAAGTCACAATCCAAGAATGGGATACCTTGTAGGACAATTGCTGAGGGGAAGATTGTTGCAGGTAGCATCAATGTTCATCTTTAGTCCTTTTATTAATCATATTCCATCCAACATATTAACCTAATTTGCTCTTTCTTTTCATCTCTCATCACTTCCTAACTAAGCAAGATATAGAATCCAATTTCACTACCCGACACGAGTAAAGGGTAGTTGTTAACATACGTACAACGGAAATGCATAACCAAAAACACGATTCCCCTGTCATTTTTTTCAATCATGCAATTCAAGAACTTGAAAGATATTAACCCAAAACGTGATTAAAATCGAAATCCTATCAAATACTGCGCTTGATTAATCATGTGTTTGGTAAAAATTGATTTAACTCACAAAATTACACTGGTATTATGAAAAAGTATAAATAATTATTTGTTACTTTAGATTCAATGAGATGAAAACATTTTTTAAGTCAATTGTGAGGAATGAACTATAAATGCATCCTAAAAGCTGTTTACCCCTTTTCATAATACTACAAGAAAGTGTAAATAAATTGAATATGAATATGTTTAAACTTCTTCACAAACACTACAAAAAAAAAAAAAAAGATTAAAAATGAAATAATTGTTTTCATAAGTAACAATACCTATAAGGTAATTTTAAAATGTTTTCTCGTGTTAGTTTTTTCAAACCTTTATGTTTTAACTTATATATAAATAATTTTTAGTATATAATAAAACTTGTTTAATTTTTTATTTGATTGTTTTTTCTTATAAAAGTTTAATATCAAAAAGTTATCAAAGATTTATTTTTTATTTATATATAAGTTAATTTTTGTTTTAAATTTTATTCACTACTATAATTGTATTTTTGTAATGTAAAATATTAGGTTAATTGCTGCTGGAGATCATAGAGAATGTGTCGGCAATGTTTACTTGATTAAGCCTGGATATTGTTCAGCTCAGAAAAAAAGTCTCCTCTCCATGGATAGAGGAGACAAAACCTGGATTAACAATATAAATTTAAGTTGATGGTGAAGTTTGAAGATTCTTCTCTAATATCTTTAACAAGGGCTTTTGCATAAAATATGATTTTGATATTAGGTAACAAAAAAAGTTAGCTATTAAAATACTAGGTGGAGGTTTAGATATATATACATGAACATTTGCAATTGTGAAGTCTGGTCTATAATTAAATGACCAGGACATTGATTTTTTTAAAAGAAAAATATTTGAAATGGGCCATTCACAAAAAAATAATCATGTTGCATTTGGGGTTTTTGAACTGTGGTATACTTATTTTGATGAATGATTGAGGCCGAGAAAATTGACAAAAACAGTGATACATTTATGGTACAAAACTAAGCCAACAATGTCCAACTTGGTACCCTTCTACTGTGGTATAAAATTGAACCTGGTTTCAATATATTTGTTTAAGTTATCATTTGGGAAGGGTTTTCATATGCTTGGTTTATAAATGTTTATTTGTTTATTCTCATAACAAGTTTCAACTCTTATTTTTTTGCCATAAATTATGAACGTATACTGCACAATCACACCTATCTATTGCATTATATATCAATCTGCTTGAGCACTATTTCAATGCCAAATATTCTCTCCTTTCTGTGTCTCTGTTCTCTCTTTAGTTCATATCTGTTAAGGAAACCAATCTGACAGAAAAAGGGAAAAAATGGAGACCAAGCCACTAGAAAAAGCAAAACCAAAATACAGAAAGGGCTTGTGGTCACCTGAAGAAGATAATAAGCTCAGAAACCATATCCTTAAGCATGGTCATGGATGCTGGAGTTCTGTCCCCATTAAGGCAGGTGAGACCCTTTTTACTCCCTGTGCACCTTTATCACTCATATCAGTAGCATATTCATGATGTATACATACCTACTATACCTTTCAGATTAAGGAGCATTATTCTCGGTTCTTCTGTTTTCAAGTATTATCATTCATTGGTTACTGTTACCTAACCGGTTTGGCATAGATTAAGGGACCAAGTTGAAATGTAGGCATGCTTCATTGTCTTTGGCAGTAACATATTTGACTCATCTAGTGAAATGAATTAACAGTTACAAGTCAAGACATTCTTTAGCTGAAGAAATTCTAGGAACTCTGCCCAATCAAAATGTGGTTAAAAGTTCAGAATCTTCATGCAGACAACCAATGCATTTTTTTTGCCTCTGATTTTGCAAACTTCTATGCTTTATAGTTCATTAGATAGGTATTTTTAGTCAACATTACACTTTACTAGTAAAAATCAAAATGTTAGAGGGAAGAAGAGACAAAAGGGGTTTTAGTTTTTAACACATATAACTTTTAATATGCCTAATATTTGCAATATTTTTAAAGGGTGAGTTTTTATGTGTTTATTTGATGTTGAGTTGCTAACTAACTTAAAAATCCAGGCTTGCAAAGAAATGGGAAAAGTTGCAGACTAAGGTGGATTAACTACCTGAGGCCTGGATTGAAGAGAGGGGTTTTCAGCAAAAATGAGGAAGATACAATCATGGCCCTTCACCACATGTTAGGAAACAAGTAAGCAAGAGGAACATTTGTTTTAATTTTTTTAAATTATAATGATTTCAAGTTTACTTGCAACTTTGGAGTAAAATAAGCAAGTTTTGGAATTTTAGTCAGAATAATGACACTAACTCACCTAATAATTAGTACAAATTGACAAGTTATGAAAAACATTTTTTTTTCTTTTAACTTTTTTGGAGGCATTAAGTTAAAGAATGTAATTGGATAAGCCAGCTAGCTATTTATATTTGATTTTTATTTGCAGAAGCAATTGAGTCCTATTTAAAATGCTACTTATAGGAAAAAAATGATAGTGTGGTCAAACTATGAACTGGCATTGTTAACAAGTTTTATTTTTAAAGAAGGGAGAGAAGAGAATCTACACAGAAAAGACAATTGTTCTAGAATTTTTTTTTTCCTTCCCTTAATTCAAATTTGCCCAATATAAATTATTTTAGTCGTCTCTATCACACATAATTAAAAATCAGTTTTTTTAAATATTTTACACGCATATATGCTTTGTGTATTCTTTCCTCAATGTTTGTTTTTTATGGAATAATGGAATGCGTATTATTTTATAATTGTGAAGGGTTTAAATAAATATATTATCTACTTTTTTAAGTTTATTATTAAAATATTATTTATGTTTAAAAGACATACAAATAAATTTAGGGGAGAAAATATATATAAATTATCATAACTCTTAAAAAATTTATTAACATACCGAAACAATTTTGTTTTTATATTTATAAATAAGTTTAATTTAAAAATGATTTTTTTTAATGTAAACTTGATAGCATTAATTCATGTATCATAGCTTCATTCCATAATTTTATAAATAAAAGTCAACATTTCTTCTTTTTCCGATTAGTTTGGTAAGGAGGAATAAAATAGTGCTAGTTTGAGGAGACATTCATCTTTATTTACTTTCAACTCTTCAAAAAAGCCTGATGATATATAATTATTTTGCAGTGTACACTCTTTTGTGTTTTTCTTTATATCTTTCCTATAATATAATTATTTTATTAATGGAAATTTATGAAAATTAATTATATTGGTCAGGTGGTCTCAAATAGCACAGAATTTGCCCGGAAGGACAGACAATGAGATAAAAAATTACTGGCATTCATATTTGAAGAAGAAAGTGATGAAAGCAAAGGAAATGGAATCTGATAAACAAATTCAGCATGCTAGTTCAAGTTCAGACGCAATGGACAATTCACTCTCCCCACAACAACTTTCAACTCAAGATCCAAGTTATGCATTGTTAGGAAGTATGGACAAAACAACGACACACTCTGATAACTTTTTCTCACAAAGCTATGACTTTTCCAAGGAGGCTTCTCAGAGTTCCCTACCAAAACTCTTATTTTCTGAGTGGCTTTCAGTGGATCAAGTAAATGGTGCAGGCTCAGTGAATTCTGATGATTCTTTGGTATTGGGAAATGTATTTGATCAAAATTCATCTTTCCAAGAAGCTATAATGCATATGTTAGAAGAGAACTTTGGTGAAGAGTTTCATAATAGTCTAATTCACAGTTCAACCTCTGAGATGTACACTTCACAGCATAAGCCATCAGATCAAGTGGATGGAAGTGATTTCATTCACTGTATTCCCGGGAATGATTTGTGTAGCAATTTCAGCCTAACCAATCAAGCTATGTAAGTACGGGAAGGAGTTTACAAGCTGCTCAAAAAGGAAGAATAATTTGTAATTTAACATACAGAAAACAAATTTGATCAATGTAAAGTTATAGTTCTAATTATTTGAATTGTACTTCTACCCCACTCAAATAAATTCAGTGAGATAATAAAAAAGTGTATTTCATTGTGATTCTTCCGGTGTTGTTTAAGCATACTCATGTACATTTGCTTCAAATCAATGAGTCAAAATCTTATGGTCTTCAATGTTCTTTTTCCCAGAAACTGTTACAATGATTTATATGCTATCTGAGAATTCTCATCAGGAAACTCATTCTTCTTGGCCTGCAAGGAAACAGGAGTTCAGAACGACACACAATCAACACACTCTCTCTTGATCACTACTTATTTTGAGAAACAGAACACATAGGAAAATAGTAGCATGTCTCTCATTTAGTTTATTCCTTCACAATTTCTAAGGACATGCCATAGAACCAGTTGATTCAGTCCTTCACCGAAGTAACAGGTGCAAATGATTTAGGAAAATGAAGGAAAAAGGTAAAAAGGCACAGGAAACTAATCACAAATTTCAATTTATTGTAGACACATGTCTGTCAACATCATAGCCTCACCAGATTGTTAACAGCCCGAAAATGGAACTTCAATAGCAGAATATGTCAAATTTACAGTTGACTGATTGAACTTTGTCTTAGGCGTACTAAACTAAAACATGCTTAGCAGAGAATTACACTTTACCCTATTCATCTGTTGACTAATGTTTAAAAATTAAACATAATCACTCTTAACTACCTAACAAAGAAACATAGCGTACACTAACTAGAATTAAGTCTAGCAGAAAGGACTAATTCCTCATTAAGTGGCAAAATAATATTCAAAATATATGTTGAGAAAGGTGTCTAGTTTCTGTGTTAGACACTGTCGCGAATAGAATTATCCCTGACAGGAAATAAATGTGAATCCCCAAAAGAAAAACATAAGGGCATTCCTAATCTTGAAATTTACAAACATCAATTGGTATATACAAATGTTTTTAATGTCCATATTCTTTGTTCTGAGTAATGATGACTATTTGTCTTAATTTTCTTAATATTCCTGCTAACCACTCATACATCACTCTGCATGCTCAAGATTCCAAATCAGTGAAATTTAAACTCAATCAGTAATAGTTAAACCAATGTGAATGTACAACTATATATTCTTCATAGAGCCACAGGAGAAATACCGTTTTGAACAGTTCTTGAAATTTCTTGAACTTAACACTAAAAGGTCCGCATCTTCCATGTTAATACTTCCGAAACATCTATGCCTACCTGAATAAAGTTTGCATTTTCATGTCAGATTTACTGCAAGTGACACACAGTATGCAGAACCCTTTCCAAATTGTTATGTGCTGAATACTTTGATCATCACTAACCATTTCTTTGCATAATGATGAACAAGGCCTCTGCGTATCTAATTCCACGCTTTCCAGATTGACAATATTTGATTTCAGAGCATACAAAATTGTACTTTCCACTTCAAATCTTACAAAATTATTTTTCGATATTTGGTTCAGTTTGGTGATTTAGAATAGTTTGATATGGTTTACACCACGCTGCTTACAAACATTTCTCATTTTTATGTAAATTATTTAATAAGTTGTATGAGAAATTTGTGTTTCAAAGTGTAAAAAGGATTTTAATTATACTAAACTAAACATAATACTGAAGTGGGTCAATGACTTGATGCGACAAGTAACTAATGCACAGATTGAATCATTAGATTTCTTTATCCACAAAGTAGTTGATATATACACGCCAATGTGTTGGTTTGCACACATAATAAATGAACATGGCTAAATCAACACCATATAAACTAAATAAAACACACTTGTATTCCTGATAATTTAGTGGCCAAAGATACACAATAATAATTAACTCTTTTTGTTTCCAACAATGCTTGAGGTTTGAAGCTTTAGAAACACCCTAGGAGTTTCTTTGGAGCTGTTCCAGTTGCTCTATACTTTGCAGCCGTCTCCTCTGCCTTTAGAAGATCCTCCCCTTTCTTTGCCTCAATTACTGCTCTTTTCTCTTCAGCTTCCTTGTGAAATGTAGCTATTTTGTTCTTTATTTTTTCTGCATATTCTGCTTTTTTCTTCTCCAATTGTTCCTACTCATGCAAAATTGAGAAGTGAACTTTACTATGTTCCTCTCTTAGGCCACATTCAATGCAGAAAGCATCACAAGAAACCAGTACTTGAAATTGTAAAATAGAAGAAAATGAACACATAAAAGATGTTAGAATTGCTGATGAAATTAATTCTTACTTCAATCTTTTTCAGTTCTGCCTCCACTGAAGCTTTCTTGCTGTTTTCCCATGCCGAAATGGCTGAAAGCTTTTTATGTGCCCTGCTCAAGAAGCTCAGTTAAATTAGTATCCTAGACATTGCTAACCTCAAATATTTATCTGTAATTAAATTCGAGAATCTGTTACTTATGCTAATTTGTTTTTTGACACATGTTTCCAAGTTCACTACCTTCTTGATGGTGATATTTTGCATATATATTAGGTTCCAAGAGTGTTCAATGCGCAAATATAGCAAAGATCAGCACAAAGTAAAAAGGGAAACCAACCAATAACATTTCAATTCAAAGATAAAAGACTATAAAGTTGATGTCAGGTTGATTAATCATCATGATTAAGGTGAATCAATTGAAGAATCTTAACAATTATTTGGGAAAAATTGTTAGGCTAATAATCACCAGTGTTTGTTAGTGTGCTTGGATAACACAGAAAAGTCAATTATATCCCACAAAAATATGGCGATACTATGAAAATGTAGAAATAACTACTTATCACTTTATCTTCACTATGAAATTTTTACCTTCGCTATGACAAATAAATCCATTATTTCTTACCATGAAGTTAATCTAAACACACCATTAAACTTGAGCCAAAGGGATGCAGATTCTTACTTGTTTTCAGCTTTTGATTTTTCACTTTCTTCCCATGCTTTGATTAGTGACAACCTCTTCTCAGTTGCAACTCTTGCAAGCACCGCATCTGAAGACAAATTAAAGATGATACATAATCTGTAATGTCAAGAGTACAAAAATGTACATTGAGGAAAATTAAATGTCAAACTACAAACCTCTGTTTACAGAACCCTCGGTTGGTTTCACTTCAGTAACTTCTTGAGTCTCTGGCAATAACCAAATTAACAGTAATAAGCAAAACATCAAGAAAATATTGTAGGGACAAGGTTATGATAATAAATAAATATAATGATGAAACAAAAGATTATTTTGTTGCAAACCATTATTGGTCTGCTACTATGTAGCATGTAACTTGTTCCAACGTTAACATTGAAAACAAATCAAACCCTCAAATGGGATTGAATAAAATTCATTCTTTGTATCTTTCACTAAATGAAGAGAAAAATATGTTACACTTTTTAGAATGAAACTAATTATATTTTGCTCTTGTTCTGCTTTAATCAATCACTGAATTAGAAAACTCATCTTCCAAAATAGTTTTTGTTGGTTTAGTCTCCTCTGAATCAAGTTTGGGCAGAATTTTTTTAGGTAACTCTGTTTTAAGTCACATACAAACAAGCACTAAGAGATTTGAACCAAAAACAGCAATACATCACTATGAACCATTAAAGGTTGGATTTCTGAATGAAGCCTAGATTCTTAACTAGCTTGAAATTGGGTGATAATGGTTTAATAAGTTTATGCCAATTACGTTGTACAATACTTAGATTTCAAAGAAGGACCACTCTATAACTTGCTAATAGAAATGGAAAAATGCAGAGCAATATGGGGACATTGTTTTTAATAAAACTACAACACGAAAGTTCCAGCAAAAGTGAATATGATAAAATACAAGAAAAAGCAATCAAGTACAAGTAACAACTAACGACTAAATAATCCAACATAGGAATAAAAAAGGTTAAGAAATATTAATTTAAAATCTGTTCCCAGATATTACACCATTTCTTACTGATTGTTTAAGACTATGTAAGAGACTATCATAAAAAATATTTATATTGTTACTGGAAGAACCAGAAGCATATCACTATAAATACTAGAGTTTGGAATATGACACGAAATTTTCAGAAAAATTTAGTCCGAAACCAGTGAACAACCATGTAATTTGAAAATATACTCAGAAGAAGCAGAGGAAGAAATAGTGAATAAAAAACACTTTTTTCTCCAGAAGTTACAGAAAGGAATTCTCTCTCTCAAAAACTACAGGAAAATAAAATTAATACCCTTTGGAATAAACAAAACACAGCTCCTGAAAAAATTGGTTAACTTAGTAGATTAAAACAAAACAAGAAGATAAATAAAGTATAACAAATCATATGCAGAGAGATTCCTTCAAGACATAGATTCCAAATTCTTTTTCTGCAATTGTTTTTTTCTCACCAACCAAATATAACTAACCCCACCTTCCCGAAGATGATAACATAACAAGAATCAGCACAACAATATCTTACTCTCAACCAAGACAAGAGCCTTGGACTCATCAGGCTTGTCATCAGAAGAGGGCACCGGAATCACAGATTTCTCCTCAGCCACATCCTTTGGAGCCTCAGGAACAGGCTCAGGCTCAGCTGGTGGAGCCTGTGAAGGAGGAGGAGGAGCAGCAGGTGCTGCTGACTCTGACTCTACAGTTTTAGGTTGCTGTTCTGTCATTTTTCTCCTTAGCAACTCAGAATTCTGTGCACAAAAAGTGGTAAACAGGAACGGGTGTAACAACACTTTCACTGATTTAGAAAAAATCAACACTTACTGGAGAGAGAGAGAAATGGGAAGGACCTTAATTGGTTGAGATATTATAGTTGGAAGAAGGTAACTGCTTAACTCTAAGTTCCAGAAGCTTAGCTGGGGTTAGGTACTTGTGGCCTCACAATGCGTTGGCACAGTAACAGATATTAGAGATCATTGTGGACGATGAAAGCAACGTATGCAAACAATTATAGCGAATTAGGATAAACCAAACAAAATGCTCACTAACCATTCTACACCTGTTCTTTGTGGGTCCCTTCATTAATTTTCTCTTCTTCATCCATTAATGCCATGATTTTTTTCTCAATAGTTCCATACATAAAGTCAGGGAGTGGATATTTTAATCGTATGTTCGGTTTGTCAGAGTAAAAAGAAAAAGAAAAAGAAAAAAGAAAAAGAGAGACACATAGGTATGATATTTTGTTTTTACTTATAAGATTCAAGGAATTTAAACCATGAATTAAGGAAATTAAATTGTTCATAAAGGCTTTATATTTCGGTTTGCATTTTTCAGTATTATATTTTTTTTACCCATGCAACTTATTGACACAAATTAACTTCTATTAGGAAAATATTCTTTAATTTTTGAATGTGTGATAATCTTTCTTGTGTTAGGAAAAGCAATATTTAATTCAATAGCCATAAATTGTGGTTACTTTTTGAGTGGTTGACAAAGAAATTTGTGATACATACAATAAAGTGTAGGCCATCACCCTTTAATTAATCCATTGATTGATGATAACATATTAATAATTCATTTGTGTTATCTTATTGATCAAGGTTACGCCATACATAAGCACATAGCGTGCTCTAGCATCATTAAACGTTGCCGTTTTCTATTACCTTACACAAAGGGAAATGTTCATCTAAAAAAATTTATAGTTCTTCAAGATTCTTTCTTTCATATCGTGCACACAAGGGAATATTTTGTGTGTGCCCACTTTGTAAAAGAGTAGAAGGAAATTCATAATTGTAGCTACCAAAAACAACCTCATCAATCGTCTATCAAAATCAATCTCAATCTCAATCAAACTAAGTTTGTTTCTTGCTCAACTTGTGGGATTTTATTATCAAAGTTTTTAAAATTCTAGATTTCAATGTTGTTATGATTTGGAGTCCAAATCTCACCTAGATATGGTAGGTTTTAAGGATGAGCTTCCTTTTGATTTATGGCAACAAAGTTGACGTTGTTTGTTTCAACATATTATTTTGAGCAATCCTTTTAGCTATTTGAAGGCCAAATCAATTTTGAATAATTCAGAATTATAATAATCTTATATTTGTTACAAAATTTATATTTATATCGTAATGGAATTTTTGTTACAAAAGTTGTTAATTTTAAGTAACAAATTACTGAAATTTTAAAATATATTAAATTTGTTATAATGATTAAATAAATAAATTTTTTTATATTTTCCTTAAATGGTAGCCTTTTTAGAAGATTAATTTAAATACTCTATACTATTCCACACTCTAATTAAAAAAACTTAGAAGTGATTATTATAAATTGGTTCTGTCAAATCAACAAATTTTATTGTCTTATAGTTTATGGAAAATGAATAAATTATGTGGTCGTAATAGTACAAATTAATGGCATTATTTCTACTGTCATTAAAGTTTCATAGACGGTTGAGAAGGAACACACCAACCACTACTAGGGATAGAGCAATACAATTTTTCTATGAAAAAATTATCACTTTTTTTAAAGCTGTTTATAGAAAGTAATAAAATATTCTTTTCTTTTTTTCATCGTTATTGCTGGAAAAATAGAATTTAAAAATATTTTTATTAGAATATTAACATATTCTAAAATAAAAAATATATAAATATATAATAAATAAAAGAGGATATCTTTAATAATAACTATATAAAAATTATAATTAAAAAAAATGAAATGATAATTTTAAATTTTATTTTATTTTATTTATTAAATATTCTATATTGAATGAATAGTTGCCATATGATATATAAATAATAAGTATTGTGTGTTTTATTAAATTTTTTAATTTGTCTATTTTACTTATTTGTGTGCTCTTTTTTTTTTTATTCCTCTCTCTTCTGCTACAGTTATTCTCTATTCAACTTTTTTTCCTCTTCCAATAGTGCTTCTGTCCCATGTAAATATCTCTAATACACTGAAAAGTTGTAAAAAAGAAAAGAAAAGAAAATAAAAATATAATATTTATTAAAATGAAAGTTGAGAACACTATTTTGCTACATAAAATTACGTCAGATGAGCACAACGAAAAAAGTATTATAAACTTGTAGGTTTGTTACGATCGATGAAGATAAAAGTTTTAACAAACGATCTACAAAATCATCATCGTATGTTAATTTATGTGATGATTGTAATAATAATTATTTAAAAATAGTTATTATATTTTTTTAATAGATATAAAATAGATTATTAGTAACAATGTGTTTTGATAAGTTTGAATAAAAACAATTCTTCTTTTGATTCATTAGCAAACACTTATAAGCAAGACTATTAATTAAATGTATCAAGTAAAGTCATTTTTCATTTTGTTTCTTCCTCTTGTAAAATTATGGAAACAACTGTAGTGTGAGACCAAGTGTGTTCCTAAACCACAAAAATAAAGAAAGTGATAAGTTGACAAAGGAAAAAAATAATGAAAAGAAAAAGAAGAAATAGGACAAGGTAAAATTGTCATTACATACCTCTTGGCTTGCACACTGTTCCAGTGAGACAAAAAACACCTGTTTGATTATTCCATGATTCCACCCCTTTGTTGGTATTATGAATTGCACATGCCATGTTTCATGGGAATCTCGTAGTCTACTAGAATTTTGGAGATGGTAGATTCATTTTGGGCCATTCAGAATGGGAAGATGAGATAAGTATTTGGGCCATTTGAACTCAAACTTTTAAGCCACCAAAATAAGAATATATCTTGAATTGGAAAATAGCAAACAAAGGAAATGATGGGATAATACTTCCAATCAGATAAATTGTACCCTTTTGTATTTTGAGTGATTAGTGAATTTTTTGGCTTTTGTGTTTTCTCTTAATGATTTTCATAAATATGTTTATGAAAATATGACAAAACCTACTATCATGACTAATGAACCTTGCTTCCACTTCTCACTTGATATCCTTCAAAGCAAAAACTACTCTTCAAAGTCATTTACAAGAGTAAGGTTCTGAAAAAAATATAAAATATAAGTACTTATTTCAACATGTGACAAGATGTTCAGTGCAAACACAGCACAAGAATGGTTGAAGTTTGAACTTTTAAGGCACTCCCTTTTCCCAAGAATGTGTGCTGGCAGGGACAAGTCCACTGCTATAAAAGCAAACATTTGGCAGACATGTGCAAACCTTAATTGGTGTCTGGTTCCCTAAGCAAATTACTTTTAAGACAGAATTTTTTTTTTTTAAATTTAATAATGAAATGCAAACTGCTTTAAAACAGATAAATTTTTCAAAAGTTGAACAAAGGAGATCCAAAATTTGGCCCAGTTCTAACTAAGCCTTTTACTCAATTTACAGTAACAATGGTGGACCTGTTAGAATTAAGAAATGATTTAATGGTAGAAGCAAGAAGATATATAAAGTTTATAACACTATTCATTTAAATTAAAAAATGGTGAAATGTCAGAATCAATAAATTGTTTTTGCATGAATTATTCATACAACATCATATTGTGTTATAAAAAATATCGAAATTTTATATTATTTAGAAATATTTCAAATGTACAAAAGAAAAAAAAATTAAATATAAAATAAATTAATGTTTAATTTAGATAATAAAAAAATAAAGATATTATAATTTTTACTTACTCAACAAAGGATATATATATATATATATATATATATATATATATATATATATATATATGATATAAATTGTGGAAAATATAGTGTAAAAAACTCAGTGTTTTAATGAATACATAAATTGAAGATTTAAATTTTCAATTGAAGTTTAATTAGATTTAATAAATAAAATTTGTATAATATAATAAATTCATTAATAATAATTATTTAAGAAATAGTAAATATTATTATTATAAATTTCTAAGTTATAATGAATATTATAAATATAAAATATATTAAAGAGTGAAAGATAAATAATTATTAAAAAAGTAAGATTGAATTAATAAATATTATTTAAAGTTAATATAAAAGATTTTTTTTTGGAAAATTTTATATTTTTATAAAAATTTGTATTTAAAAAAATTAAATTTTTTTTTTTTTGCTAGATTCGATCTAAAAATTCAATATATTTTATTGATTTTTTTGGTTTATATTGATTTTTCTGATGTTATATTAATAGAACATTTTTAAATTAATTAAGGATTAGACAAATTGAATCTGAAATGAGAGGTCTCATCCGATTTTGAAATTAGAAGAAAAACTCAGAAAACACATAATGGTCTATCATTGAAGAAGATAGAGGTCTGCTTATATTTTGTGATTGTATTGGGCCAATCTTCTAAAAATGATATGGCCCAAACTTCCGAAAACAAATGGTCCATCGCCTAGAATCCATGTTATATTTTATGGTATTTTCTCATTCACTCGCTTTCACTGAATTAGTTTAAACAGCTATACACAGCTGTAAAGAGTAAATTATTTTAGAAAAAAAAACTTAGTTTTATGGAGGCTCCAAAACGCATAATAAATTAGAGTATGTTGTTTCATGTATCAAACATATTTCCAAAATGTTACATTTTAAAAATAATTTGGGGATGTGACATTTTTTTAGAAAATGTAACTCCTATCTTATTATGTTTTCTATATTTTTATTTCTATTAAAATAGATGGAAGTATAATATTCCTATGGATATATGATAATTTTTATTTAATATATATATATATATATATATATATAACCTATTTATATTGAAATTATTTAAAATTAAAAAAAACAACCCGTGAGTAAATATATACAAACAAATACTTTTTATAAATTACATTTATAGATATAATATTATTAGGAATATAAATTAAATATTCCCTGGACAACTCTCATCGGAGCAAGAGTTGATTCTAATAATAATAAAAAATCTACTCATTTTTTTCCTTCTATTAAAAGCTCAGTAAATCTTTTTTATTAGGGATGTTGATAGGCTTTTTTTTTATTCGTTTTAATATTTTAAAATAAATTATAAATGATAAATAAATAATTATCTACAAAATTGATATTTAAAAAGAAATAGACGTATAAGAGCTTATTTGCTCATAGTTTTTTATTTTCAGTTTTTTTTTATAAAAATTAAAAAACTTGTTTCTGTTTTGTTAGAATAATTTTAAAAAATGATTTTTGTTTTATATTCTTTTAAAGTTTTAAAAAATTTAAATTAAAGGTTGATTTGTTTATTGTTTCTAAAAATAATTGTATTTTTATATGTTTTTAAAATAAAAAATACTTCCTGTTTATTAAATATGTTTCTGAGATTTAAAAAAATTTATAAAAAAATATTTGTTATTTTAATGTTATATTTTTATCAATAATATTTATTCCTTCATTAATAGTTATATTACAATTTTTTACCTTTATAAATATAAATTTATTAAAAATTTTGAATTTTAATCATGATTTTTTTTATTATGTTTATAACTTATTTTTAAAATAATTTTCTAAAACTAATCTTTAAAATTGTTTTGTAAAAATAAAATAAAAAACAAAAAAAATTAAATTAGTATTGTTTTTTTAAAGTTTATTAATAATATTCACAACTTCGTTAATAATTATCACTTTTATAACTATGAAATTATTTAAATTGTTTTTTTAATTTTCGTCGTGATTATTTTTTCATATCATCTTCTTTTACATAGAATAATGTATAAGTTAAAATTATTAAATAAAATATTTTTCTAACTTATTTTAAAAAATAAATAAACTCCTCTAATATATATATATTAATAAATATTTATGTTCACCAACAATTACATGACATAATGTTTTTTATGAATATAAATTTATCAAAATTGTTTATTAATTTTTGGTATAATTTTTCATCAAATAAAAAAATCGTAATTTTTGTTAACCAAACACTTACAGAGAAGTAAAGGACGTGAGTGAGACAGAAGATGCAATAAATAGAGAGAAATGGCGTGGTGTTTCCAGGTTCCCAGGTTTCAACGCAATTAGGGTTGAGAGAGAGAGAAAGAGAGAGAAGGAGATGGCTTTGGGAGTGAGTGGTTTTCCATTAACAATGGTGGTTCACATTCTGGCAATTCCTGCAATAATAATGGTTCTGGTTTGGAACATCCACTTCAGGGGTGGCTTGTCTTGGAACTCTTCCAACAAACCTCTCATCTTCAACGTATGTTCCTTCTTTTCTCTTTTCTCTCTTCTCTTCCTTCACATCTTCCGCAACTTCTCTCTTCTCTTATCTTCACTTTCCATTTATCTTCTTTTCACAACAAATTTTATAGCATAAATCAATTACAATTTTTTTACTTTATGTATAAGCTAATTCTATTTCTTTTTTTTCTCCTCTAAAAATATTATTACTCTAACTTAATAAATAAAACGTAAAACGAATAAAAAAATCCTAATTTAATTTGTGATTATACCTTACAACTAATATTTACATTGAAGTATTGTTTCAACTAATTTTTAATGTCTTGAAAAGATTGAATTGCCTTCCTTTAAGACGACAGATGAATGAATGATTTATCTTTTCAAATTTCAACAATTATTTTTTAAAATATAAAATAATAGGTCTTTAATTATTATAAAATATTGGAATTTTACTTTTAGTAATTATTAAATAAAAAGAATTTGCTACTTGATAGTGCTTCCACCTGCCACCAACTTAAGCACTAGGAGTGGATATATAATAAATATCCCACTATAAGTTTTGCCATTTTTTTTATAGCTTAAATAGATAATTAATTATGTTTTTCACTTCCGAAATTTGCAATAAATGTCTCTTTTGTTCATCAACTTAAAAATAATAATTATTTGTAAACATATAAACATTTTTTTATTTTCTATTTCATATTATTATAATTCTCTCTCTATTTTTATTGTTTATCACGCTTATATTTTTCTTCGTATTTTTTTTCACATTTGTATCTTTTCTATCGAAATTCCTCCGAATCCTTTTTCTAGTGTTGAAAACTAGTTAAAGGCTGAAAATAATTAACGTAGTTTTTTTTAATTATAAGTGTCCCGTAAAATTTATTGAACAAATTAATAAGTGTAAAAAATATAGACAGAACTACACAGTATTTATGTAAATTTTATTTTAATTTATGGATAGGAATATATTTTCAGTATTTATAATTTGTGTTTAAACTCTTGTACTTCTGATACTTATTGTATTTATTCCTTCACACCAAAGAAGTTACTTCAAAATTAATTTATTTTTCATACTCTCACATGCTACTATGTACATGTGAAAACAAAAAGAAAACAATAAAAAAAAGTTGAGACCAAGTAAAAGTTATCTATTTTCCATAATAAATCTAAATAAGTAGAGCATTATTAATATATTTTAATGTTTAGGGATGAGTTCTTTGGTTGATGTGAATCATCTTATTGATGAGTTTTGCTTAATTATTGTAAATGGAAATGTTTTTCACCTTAAAATATAATTTTTTTTATTATACATAACCTAAACATTAGTTGAAACTATAATATAGTTGGAAACCATATAATAAGTAGCAAAAATTGTGAAGAATAATTTATTGATTACATAGTAAAAATACTCTTCATTATTATATATGTGTAAATAGTGTATGTGTATAGTGTCAATGGTGAAACTATTATATTTCTCTAACACTTAACTAAAGACCCTAATCTTGTGCATCTTTTGACACAGATTCATCCTGTTCTTATGCTAATTGGAGTAATAATTATTGGAGGTGAAGGTAATAGATCACACTAAATTATGTGGATTTTATTCTCTATTTAAGAGGAGAAATTTTAATAAAAATGTTTCTCTCTAGTTATTATAATTTTTTGTCTTTTGATACTTGCAGCAATTATAAGTTACAAATCTCTTCCTTTGAAGAAGAAAAACAAGAAATTGATACACCTTGTTCTACATGGCATGGCACTAACACTTGGAATAATTGGAATTTACTCTGCCTTCAAGTTTCATAATGAAAGTGGGATTGACAATCTCTACAGCTTGCATTCATGGCTTGGGATTGGGGTTATAATTCTCTACGGAATTCAGGTAAATCATTGGAAGCTTCATTTCATAACAGTATACGTTTTTTCACACAGAAAGTACACAGTTAATGAACTGTTTTCGAAATTTATCTAACATTGTTATTGAGAGTTGCAACACAGTGGATATTAGGGTTTGTGGTGTTCATGTACCATGGAGATGGAGATGGAGGGAGTTCATCCCTAAGAAGCAAAGCAGTTCCTTGGCATGTATTAATGGGGCTCTCAGTGTACCTCTTGGCTGTTGGAAATGCTTCTCTAGGGTTTGTAGAGAAGCTTACTTTTCTGCAGAGTTCAGGATTGCCAAAACATGCCTCTGAGGCCCTTCTTGTCAACTTCACTGCCATTCTCACTATCTTGTATGGTTTCTTTGTTGTGCTATCTGCTGTCTCACCCTCCTCAACCATATGATCACTCACCAACCATTTTTCATTTCTTTCACTTTTTGTCTTGCTTCAAGTGGAAAATATTTATGATGAATAATGTATACAAGTAAAAAATAAAAATAAAGGAACACTATAACAAAACAATATAAAAAACTACCTATTATTTCCTTACATTCTCTTTCATTCTTCTATTTAACTTCTATTTTATTTCTCTTATTTAATTTCTTATTTAAAATCAAATTTAGATAATCACTCCAAATAAGAATTCATGTATATGCATAACTGTGTTGTTAAATATATTCAGTCGAAATTAAAATAACTTGATTTTATTTTTAAATTAGATTAGACAAAAACGCACGTCTGGTTATATTTTATTAAAATATCATTTTAAAAAAAACACAAACGAACATTTTAATAAGAATAATTTATTATTATTTTGGTGAACATAGTATAAATTCTCAAAAATAGTTGTTATGGAAGAAAGATATTAAATGAGAGGAAAGAAATGAACATGTTAAAATTAATTAAGGTGCATATTAAGAGGGTTGAAGGGAAAAAGTTTGGCCCCATATATAATTAAAGACGAAGACCAACAAAAAGTGTTTATTGACTTTGAAAAGAAAAAGACTAAAGAGAGTTTATTCAAGACTAGAAAACTAACAAAGCAAGTTCTTTAACTAATAAAGAGATTAAAGATATTTTTTTTTACGGAAAACTATTGTATCAGTAGTGTATTTTTGTCAACATGTTTCTTCATTTTTTTTTTGTATTTTTAATAATTTTTATTTCTTAATTATTTAGTTAATGTTATTAAGATATTCATTAACAATGATATATATGCGATAATTATAGTTAAAGACCTTTTATATAAATTTTCATTAAAGCTTGAAAAGATATGATTCAAAGATAATAAAATTCATAAAAGAGTAGAATAGTATTTAGTGGGCATTATATCTTATAAGTCATTAAAAAATGTATTTTTTATTATTTTAATGAATATGTATAAAAGTTGAAAAAGAAGAAGAAGAATGATTCAAATATAAAAAGTCAAGAACTATTTAATGAATAGTGTGGATAAATGACATGTGGAAGAAATTGGATGAATATTGTGGATAAATTTTATTCATAAACGTTGATTTTTATATACGAATATACATAACGATGGAGATTGATTGGTCCGTATAAGCTTTACGTGTGTTAGATGTCATCTTGAATCACCTTATCAACATTGTTGGAAAAAATTGAATCTCTAAGGAAGTGAAGTAGACATTGTAAAGGTTTATCTTTCAAACACTATTTAATAGAACAAGTGTTAAAAGAGGAATATGCATGCCTTGTAGAACTACCACCACTACTTTAACGTAGTTGCATAACTTAAATTAGGCTAATTTTAACAAGTTTTCTAAGAGATTTTGTATAGAATTTCTTATATTAGAATAGAAAAAAAATATTCATTTTACAATTTTTAAATATTTAGTAACTTTTTTTTTTTTTACCTATTATGTTTCAAAGTATTTGTTAGAAAGTCCGATATCATCTATCTCATGTGATATGATATGATCTAAAAATTAGTTAAGTTACTTTATATATTACCAATTGATTTTATATTAAAATTTTAACATGATATCATAGGTAAAACCTAAACTTATTTTCAATTATTGTCTTAGACAAAAAATTATCATTTTATTGTAGATCAAAAATATTTTTTTTGTTGTCTTGAGATCAAAAGTTGCTCATAAAATATTCTTTGCTTAGTCGAGTAAACTTTATTCGAGGGATGCGTTGAAAGTCCTGTATTATCTATGATTTAAATACATGTTAGAATTTTAGCACTAAGTTATATATATATATATATATATATATATATATATATATATATATATTAGACATTTTTAACCTAATTTTATTTAATTAAAATATTGAAAAATATATTCCCAACATGTTTCTTTTAAGACTTAAACTAATATATGTAAATTATTACCCCTGATCAAACATTCCATGTTCATGCCCAATAATTTGATTGCTTTTGAAAAGGTGATTAATTTGTTGGAAATTATCATCATCGTTCATCATGGAAAACTACAAGGGTGGGACAGTGATAGAACATGTGGCCTTCAAATTAGGTTGCAAAATATGGAGAAATGAGACAAGGTCTTTGGATAAGGAACAGAAAATTAGAGGTTTAAAAAGGACAAAGAAAATGAAAGAAAAGGAGGGTGGTTGATAGGCCAGAGAATGAGGATAAGATCCAAATCCAATTAAAACAAAGTCTCACAAAATACTAACTATGAGTAGGGTAAGTAGCATTTCAAATAGTATTTAATGGAAAACTACATTTATTTCATAAAACACATAATAAGTATTTTTAATATAAACTATATTTTGGATTTATAATAAATAATTTAATTAGTTTTTAGTGGAAATTATACCTAAAACAGATATCACAAATTTCTGTAGAAGAAATGGTGCAAGATGGGTATCTCATACTGTAAAAAATAATTAATGATATAAGATTGAACTTTAAATGCACACAAGATAATGTTATTCATTAGGATATTTAAATTATAATGTTATTCCTTATTTTAAAAATTTCCTTGGGTTAATATGTATGGGTTACAAGTTCTTTTTTATTTTAATTTTTAAGACCAACTTTTTTATTATTATTATTATTTAGGAAATAAATAAATAAATAAAAAGTGTGGAAAGGGAACCAAATCCGTTTGCGTTTAAGACCTTGTGGAGTCTTTGCATCAATTATTTGGTGCCTTTATTTGTTGGTGTGGTGTGTTGTTCTTGTTTTTGTCAAAATAATTAGGGCGTGGTGAAGAATTCACCAATGACTTTATGATAATGTTGACCAAACAAAAAAAGAACAAGATGGTATATACAGATAAAAAATTAGTACTTTATTCAATATTTCCCCAAAACATCAACATTAAATTAATTTATTTTGCATTTATAAAAAGTTATTCAAACAAAAATTATATAATTGATCTATCACTTATTTTATGGATTGGCAATGAACTAGTATTTTAACATGTTGCATAGAAAAAAAATGCTTATTTTATACAATTAAAATTTACAATAGATAAATATTTTTTTTATTAATATGAAAATGTATATAAAGTTTTGCAATAACTAAACCCTAACCTTACTTCTAATCACAAGGTTTAACAACACATGTTTTATATAATAGGCTATCACTACTACAGAAAACACTTTCTACGACAGCATCCAACGTCGGTTATCACGAAGACCGACGTTGTACAAGACGCGGTGGCAAACTTATAATTATGAAACAAAATTTAACGTCGGTTATATAATAACCGACGTAGTAACTGCAATTCAACGTCGGTTATATGACAGGCGACGTTAAATGTTTAAATTTAACGTCGGTTATGTATAACCGACGTTGAATTCCCAAAATCAACGTCGGTTACATGATTTACCCGACGTCGAAAACGTTATCCACGTCGGGTTTTTTAATAACAGACGTTGAATGTCCTTTATACCTCTCCTCCTAGGCGCACTTGCCCCTCGTCCGCTTCTTCTTCGTCCCACATACTCCCTCCTTCGCTTCTTCTTCGCGTGCCTCGGTCCTCACTGCGCCCCCTCGCCGCCCCTTCGCCGCCCACTTTGCCGCCCCCTCGCTCGCCCCTCGCCGCCCACTCGCCGCTTGCTACCTCATTCGGCTGTGGTCTCGCTGCCTCGATCCTCACTGCAGTGCTCCGCCCTCTCGCCGCCCCTTCGCGCCCACTCGCCGCGCTCTCATCGAGTTAGATTAAGTTGTATGGATGATTTACGACATGCATTTAACATAAATATGGATTATTTAGAGCATTTCTGCGTAGGAACATTAGAAAGATGATGGATGATTTTGTATATATGATTTGATTTGATCTAGGTTCGTTTAGGTTTCGAAGTGGTATATGGAACATTAGGTTTCGTTTAGGTTTAGGTTTAGGTTTAGGTTTCGAAGTGGTATATGGAACATTAGAGCATGTATGGAACATTAGAGCATTGTTAGGCAATGTACACATTTTTTTTGTATTGTTTTGTTAAACCTTTTCTAATAAACCTTGAATATCTAGGCAAGCCTTTTTGTGTAGTTAGATGGATCGAACTTGGGTCAATGCAAGTCGTATGTCAGAAGAGTATGAGAATGGAGTTGACTCCTTTTTGAAATTTGCTGAACAAAATGCTCCCAAAATGAATGGAAAAATCTACTGCCCATGCGTTAATTGTGTAAATGGCGAGTACAAGAGATGGACACAACGCGAGAGCATCTTATTTGCGATGGGATGATGAAGAATTACACCATATGGACATGGCACGGTGAAGTGGTTGATATTCCAACAGTATCACAAACTATTGTGGATGATGTAACCTGCGAAGATCGAATAGAGGACATGCTTTGTGATGTGGGTCAAGAGAGCTTTCTTGAAGCACATGCATCTATATATGATACATTGAGGACCGATTCAGAGACACCTTTGTATCCCGGATGTACAACTTTCACACGGTTGTCATCTGTGTTAAGATTGGTCAATCTAAAAGCAAAATTTGGTTGGAGTGATACAAGTTTTAATGAATTACTCCAACTTTTGAAGGAGATGCTCCCAGACAATAACACCTTGCCGGACCGTATGTATGAAGCGAAGAAGATACTATGTCCGATGGGTTTAGAATATAGGAAGATACATGCTTGCCCTAATGATTGTGTGTTATACAGGAAAGAATTCTCATCTTTAGACCAATGTCCAACATGTGGTGTATCACGTTACAAAACGAAGGATGGTGATGATTGTAGTCGGGAGAGTGGTAAAAAACGTCCTCCTGCAAAAGTTTTATGGTATCTTCCAATTATTCCAAGATTTAGGCGGTTGTACGCTCACGAAGATGCTGAAAATTTAATTTGGCATTCAAAGAGAAAAACATGTGATGGACAAATGCGACATCCATCCGACTCTCCCCAATGGAAGAATTTTGACCGTCTATTTCCAAGTTTTGGTAGTGATGCAAGAA